TGAGAATGATGAGGGCAATGAATGTACAAATGCGCTTTACACAATTGATGTATGTATGGATTGTGATAAGAGTTGTATGAGTCCTAATAAAATTATTTTTAAAAAGCTAATAAAACTGATTGTACAACTCTTTAAAAAAACAAAAAAAGAAAGACACTGTCTTATTTTTGGGGAAACAGGGTATTATGTGTAGTGGAAAAAGTATTCCTGGTAGTAAGAGCATTGTATCAGAAGTTCAAGTCCAGAGAATTGGAATTCGAGTCCTGAGACTACAAATCACTTTGCATGTCTAGATCTGTTTCTCCAGCTGAAAAATTAGGGAGTTGACTTACTTGTTCTTTAAAGACCCCTCTCCCAGCTCTAAAATATGTTTTATTCCTAACAGACATATGTTTTTCATAATTCATAAGCAAAAGATCTTTGTGCCAATTATGTAATAAGAAAATCATGTAGCTTTCTTCCAATATTGTTTTCTTTGAATACAAGTCAAAGGTTGTTGGGTTTTTTTTTTACTGGAAGGGTAATGAAAACATTGAAACAAACTCCTGAAGAAAGTCTTTTAAAATGGAAAAAAAATGTTCACAGATTCATCTGGAAAGGCTTAGATATTTACATCAGGGGAGACAATCCCTTAAATTAGTCATGGTGAGAAATGAGCTTCATTTCCCCAATGATATGAAAAGCTTTTTGCCATACTTGATGATTTGCATGTTGCTGTGACTTAGGAAACTGTGCCACCAGTATTTCAAATACCAGCAGGGTCACCAATGAACAGATTTCAGTGGAATTTTCTGATTAAGACAAAATCGGGGGGGAAAAACCGTAACGATCGACATCTTAGAAAATTGGCCAATGAAAACTATATAAATAGTGAGGAATTGCCTAACATAATCAGTGCCAGAAAACGAGCCTCTTAGATTAGAAATCCCCTAAAATAAGACTGAAGAAGAGCTGCCTCTTCAAAATAGAATTGACTTTAATGGTATGGATAGGACAGAGCTTTCAGGACTTTTATTTGCTTACATGGCAAGAATCAAATGAGAAGAAACAGTTATAAAATTTGTTTAATGATTGGAACACAGAATGTATGAAATTCGAATGTAGGAAAATTGAAAGTTGTCAAAATGAAATGGCGTGCTAGTAGATACACCTCAGCAATAGTAAGCTACAATGGACATGTTATTGTTGTTAGGTGCCATCAAGTCCGCTCTAACTCATAGTGACCCAGTCAACAACAGAAAAACACCACCCGGTCCTGCATCAGTCTCAAAATTGTTTTTAAGCCCATTGTGGCAGTCACTACATTGTGTCAATACATCTCATCAAGGGTCTTCCTCTTTTTAGCTGCCCTTCTACTTTACCAAGCCTGACGTTCTTTTCCAAGCTGGTTGCTCCAAGTACTTGCCATCCTCACTTCTAAGGTGCATTCTGGCTCTACGTCTTCCAACATACAAAGGGGGTACCCCCCAAAATGAAAATTTTTTCAAATCTATGTATTTAACTTTTTTTACAAAACAACCTTATCACCTTCAAAGTACTCTCCATTACACTTAATACATTTGTCAAATCTGTGATTTTGTTCTTGGAAACATGTTTCATACTTATCTGTTTAGATGGTTGACAGCAACTCCTTTGGGTTTTTTTCTTCATTTCTTCTGTGTCTTTAAATCACTAATCTTTTAAGGTCCTCTTCATTTGTGCGTGGAAACAATAAAGTTGCGCAGAGGAAGGTTAGGTGAGTAAAGTGGGTTGGGCAAGAGAGGCATGCTGTTTTTTGACAAAAACTGGCACACTGAGATGGCTGCCTAAGCGGGTGCATTGTTGTGGTGGCAAAACCAGTTCCCCGTCTGCCACAAATCAGGCCATTTTTGTCGCACACTGTTATGCAATCTTTTCATAACCTCTAAATAGAAACTTGATTAACAGTCTGATTTGGTGGAATGAACTCCAAATGCACTATCCCCCTCACATCAAAAAAACAAATGAGCATTGTCTTGATCTTTGATTTCACTTGATGAACTTTTTTGGGGCAAGATGATGACAGCATCTTTCACTGGCTTGGCTGGTGTTTAATTTGGGGATCATACTAATAGCACCATGTCTCTTCACCAGTAATGCCCTTGGGGGAAAAGTCTGGGTTGCTTCAGAGCTGTTCTTTCAAAGAACGGCATGTTTTCATTCATGTTTCCACTCGATGCTCTTTTTTCTGGTCTGTCAGAACTCAAGGCACAAATTTTGCAGGACCTTCTCATTCCCAAATCTTCCATTAAAATTCACTGAACCTACCTCCAAGATAGTCCAAATAACTTCCCCATCTCTTCAATGGTCTGTCGTTCTCAGTCTTTGAGCACAAGTGCATGAATTTCGTCGATTTTTTCATCCACTTGGGAAGTTGACAGATGTCCAGAATGAGGTTTGTCTTCAACAAACATTTCACTTTTTTTGTAACAAGAAAACCATTTGGGTTTTTCCCATAGTGCTGTCTTGTGAGCTCTGTTCTGCATTAACAGTTTCTGCGGCACCACCACCTACCCACCCAAGCTGGAAACAAAATTTCAGTCTCATACTGTTCTCTTAAATCAGCTATCACAAAAATTAGGTTTGGGTGAAATTCCTTTTACAAAAAAATTCACTGTGACCAGAGAGAACCTTTCCAGGTGATTGAGGAGGGATGGGTACTCCCTCATAGATCTATTTGTTCTTTTACAATCCATTGTACTTGCAATATTCTTCAGTACCACACTTCAGAGACATTGATTCTTCTTTACCCAAGGTCACATTTTCACATCCATAGGAGGCAATTGAAAATACCATGGCTTGGGTCAGGAGTACCTTAGTCTTCAATGTAACATTCTTGCTTTTAAACATTGTATAGGAGTCTTATGCAGCAGATTTACCCAGCACAATGTGTCCTTTGATCTCTTGACTACTGCTCCATGAGCATTGATTGTAGATCCAAGCAAGATGCAATCTTTTCGCCATTTATCATGATCTTAACTACTGGTCTACCTGTGAGGTTTGGGGATTTTTCTCCATTGAAGTATCACCCATACTGAAGGCTGAAATCTTTGCTCTTCATCAACAAGTATTTCAAGTCCTCCTTGCTTTCAACAAGCAAGGTTGTGTCACCTGTATATTGCAGGTTGTCGCCTGTAAATTGCCTTCCTCCAATCCTGATGCAAGGTTCTTTTTTTTTTTTAATTTTAATTAATTTATTCAGGGCTTGTACAATTCTTATCACAATCCATACATGCATCCATTGTGTCAAGCACATATGTACATTTGTTGCTCTCATCATTCTCACATTTGCCTTCTACTTTGGCCCTTAATATCGTTGCTCATTTTCCCCCTCCCTCCCTCCTCCCCCTCCCTCATGAAACCTTCATAATACATAAATTATTGCATTTTTGTCATAAGTTACACTGTCCAACGTCTCCCTCCACCCTCTTCTCTGCTGTCCATCCCCCAGGGAAGAGACTATATGTAGATTCTTGTAATCGGTTCTCCCTTTCTTTTTTTTTTT